ATCTCCCTTAATTCTCTTCTCCATTATTTTCTTTAGAAAGAGGAAACTGCTATTTCTCAACAAGTTGAGATGTTTTTTTTTTCATTTGACTCAATTTGCTTCTTGCTGTCTCGTGTTAAATTATATTTTTTCCATTTGCAGTGAGATCTAAAAAGGGATTGCTCATTGCTGTCCCACATAACATAATATCAGCCATGTTTATAAAAGTTGACCCAGCTAATCTGCTGCTCTTGGCCATATGCATAAGAAATGGTATAGCTTTGTCCAGTTCCAGCTCGAAGTGTCATCCATCCTGTTTTTAATCAGACTCTAATGTGATCATAATGAAAAGAAGAAACTACTTTTAAATCAAAATCGTACAATAACCCCATCTGGGATTTTATTTTCCCAAAAAGAAAAAGCACCCATCCTGCTTTTCTCTGGATTGTTTAATCTACAATTTCTTAGCTGCACTCCAAAAGTCCTCATTATTAAAAGATTTGGAGGGGGTAGTTCTCTATCCACCTTGTGAAAGTGTCAACACAAACAAATATTACCTCACACCTTACAACAGCAACTGGCTCTGGTCTTGTTAGAGCCTCTTAAACTGCGTTCTGATAGAGAACTCTGCTGAGCTTGCACTACCAGAGCTCTCACTGATAGTGTTGCAAGTAACTACTCAGCTCAGAATTATGATGCACTGATTGCAGCATTTATCTTTTTTTTTTTTTTTCCATTTAAACAAAACCTACTGACTACTGTTCTGGGAAACAAAAAACCCTTTTTAACCCTCAGATGTTATCTTCCATCAGTTTTCTTCTTTCTTTTCACAACTAAACCCAAGCATGTAAACAATCTTTCAAAGCTGCTTTGCCAGTCCGGTCTTCCGGAGAATGACGTGGGGCTTCCTCTTCCTTTTATGTCCTTCCTGCTATAAAGGAAGGAGCTTCTCCATGCAGTGATGTATTAAAACCAACCCACAGGTGGAATGATTTCGTTATCTATTGTATGCTCGACAGCTGTGGGCCGAAATCAAAGCTTTGGCAAAGATCCTACATTGTGTTGCCAATCAGATAACATTCATGTATTGCTTAAATATTTTCCAATTTTTTTGTTTCAAAGCAAACTTCTTCTTCAGCTTAAGATTAGGACATTTTCCTTTAGCTAATGCAGCTTTTAGAAATCAAGTGATCTGAAACGAGACTGAATCCTTTATAAACCTACTTTAGACAACATCAAATATGTTTATAAATCAAATTGTAGCAAAAAAGCTTGATGCTTTTACAGCAGTTACATCCGTTTTTCCTATCTAAAATAGATCTTCCCTAAAACATTCAGATACACATTTGTCTAAATTTAAGACTAGAACAACTTTAAAAATAAAAAAGCAGAGAGAAAGTTGACTGTGACGTATAGAAGTAACAGGGTGTTTGTTGGCCTTCTGTCTACTATCATGTCAAACCCCAGAAAGTTGTGAATTGATGATTAGAAGACAGTTTCAAACAAAATGGCATATTTTTTACGTGGATGCTTTGTAAAAGGCCCATTTTTCAATAGATTAAATTGATGTCTTAGTGAATTTAGACTGATGGACTAATGTTAATTATTTCTCTTTTGTTATTAAACCTAGTCGTGAGTAAAACTGGACACTCATTTCTGTAGTCCCTGTATTTTTCCTCCTGTAGAGCCTTCATGGCTGCACATCGTGCCCTCAACGCATCACGATGGGCACATTGTGACCTTAGCACTTCACAGTGGGTGCCTCATGCACTCAGCACATGATGGCCTGTGCATCTTGGCGGGTGCATTGCATCCTCAGTCCCTCAGAGCATCGCAGCCGGCTGTATGGCTACAGCCCCTCATTGCAGTTATCATCACAGAGCATCTCCGTTTCCCATCTTGTAGGTTATTAAGTATGTAGAGTTTAATGCTAGCAATCGCAATGACGCAACCTCTTCATATTTATTCTTGCGGGAATACGCAGAGGACATTTCTGAGATTGTAAGCGATGATCTGTGTTACGTTCAAAATTGCAGGTTTAGTAAAAAGAAACTGAGTCCGCACAGAATAGGGATTTTTAGCTTCTGCAGGAGGAGAGAGCCGCGTTCAGTCACATTTGCTCTCTGGTGGGTTTACTCAGCAGAAGCCTTTTTATTAGCAGATCATAACACATGGGGTGGGTTACAGAATAGTGTTGTTCTGACAAGGCAATTGATCGGGTCATAGGACAAAATACTCCTCTTGATTGAATCACAGAATAGAGCGGTTCCCGATAACTGTGATTATCCTTGCACAAACATCAGCAGTTTTCTACCAAAGTTGCATGACAGTTTCTCAGTAAACAGAGTTAAGCATCTCATTTTTTATAGTTCCATATGCACATGCATTAATTTTATAATCATCATTGAATAAACCTGACAATCTGCTCCATTCCACCACATTAAATTCCACCAGTCCTTCGAGAGTTTCTCTGTATACCCTGGCTGCTTGCTGGTCCAGCCGACTCTCAAGCTGGAATAGAATTCCCTTTCGTTTACTATGGGTCATTCACTCCGCTTATCCGATTCATTTTCATATGAGTGTAGGGGTACGTTTCCTAGCATGGTTGTTCACGATTCCTAGCCCCTCCTTTTATCCCGCAGTTCAGTTTTTCAACTTTCTCTAATATTATTTGTAGAATCTGCTTTTTAAAGTTACTTTAAATATTCATCACTCCAACAGCTTGTTCACCGATCCTCGCATCTGTCCACACCTTTCCATCTTGTTAGAAACTCAACCCTCTCTTACCCTTTAGGTAGGACGATCAGCATTGACTGGTGGCCCAAAGGGTCTCAGTCCGTCGACACACACTCATCCAACACACTATCACTCAACCAGCTTTGATCATATTCTTTATCATCATTATCATCATCTTCAGTATCAGTGGTGCATCCAGATATACGGAGTGAACCGATTTCACCTTTTGTCTTGATTAGTCTTTCTCTATCTACCCCTGTCTTTATCGGTGCATCCCACTGCGCTCTCTTTCTATCAGCCTCTCTCCTGTCAGTGCCATCAACTGCGCTGCTCTGCCTCTCCTCTAATTTCTATGCCATAGCTCCCTCGCTTGAGGTCCTAGTCTCCAAGCTCGACTTCGGGCCCTTTTTTTTTTTTTAGGAAAGACTACTTTAATCCTTAACGAAAATAGATCCATATGATCAAAGTCTTCTGCCGGGGCCCGATTGCCAAAGAACCTATTTTATTCATGTCAATCAAACTTTTCTGATTGCAGCTTTTCTCTGTATGAATCTCTCCAGGTTGAAATGAAGCTGATGCAAAAATCTAGCAGATGGCTATCAGCTTCACCTGGACCACCTGCAATGTCCCTCTCTCAAGTTTCAGCCAATCAACGTCGGGACTGCACCTCCTCTTGAGCCAATCATCATTCAAGATTCGTTCATTTAGCTCTTGGCCTAGCCTCCCTCATCTCCTCCCTCACTCTCAGGCTATTCTCAGTCTGACTTGCCCTCCTGCCTTATTTCACCAACAATGTCCAGTATACATACTTTTTACTCTAGAGGGTGCTTTTTTTTTTACATTTCTCCCTGCATATTAATTGTACATTTGCAGCCAAGTTTCTTAACAAAATTACAGTATGGTTTCACAGTGACATTAAGGATGATCGTTTGGGTTATTTGTTAGCCTGCAGTACTGGTCTATGCCTCTGAAAGGGGAGTTGTTGGCCTGGCTGAACAGGCGAGATGTTCTGGTATCCTTTTTTCTTTTTTTTTTTTTTAGCAGAAAAAATAAAATGCCACAAAAATAAGAACAGCTATTTTGATTATTATTTCTTAAAGAAAAACCAAAAAGAAAAAAGGAAAGTCTTTCTATTCCAAAGTGTGAAACTCCTCACACTTTGGAATAAAGATTTAAGGTTGAATCTATTACCAAAAAGAAACTATAACTCTGATTTGAGAACAAGTCCTTCTGAAAATCCTAACCACATGCAACATGCAACTAAAAATAATGTCTGCCCTGAATTTCTCACATTTGTGGAAAGTCATTAAATCTTTAAAACATTGGTGTCCAAATTCAGTCCTACGGTTCTGCTGTCTCCCCTGTTGAGATTGCATATTCAAGAAACAAGAATGACAACAGCGGATTACAAAACTGAGCCAAAAGGAACAAGCAAGTATCAGCTTCTTCGAAATATATTGGAGTAGAATGTAGAATGCCTTAAACTTTTCCCTTTTATAGTTGTTAACAAGCAAATAGATACTTGCCAGGAAGATTGCAAGAGAAATACAATATAATTTCGAATGCTTAGAAAAAAAGTCTTCATTATAAGCTTTCATTGTTTTGCTCAACATTAAGAGGTGTCAGTAGCTATCCAGGATGCTGTTGACTTCATCTATAAGCTCTCCTGAGCTCTACTATTATTGTTGTGTCTTTGTGTTGCGACAGTTTTTTGTTATCTTAGTGTGACATCTAGTGGTTTGCTATGACAGCACAACATGTCAGTTTAATACAGTATGTTAATCTATCATATTTTATATTTAAAGCTTCAGCTTAGTTGTTTCAGCTTATTGGAGATTAGATGAGGAAACATAAGAATTCTGTGGAAGAATGCAAAATTTCAATATTTTAAACCATATCTAACAGCAGGTCTCACACATTTGGAAAGTCTAAGAAAAGTCAAATTCCTAGTACTGTGCATTACCAGAAAAACCTGTTTTGAAGACACTTCAAAAGATTAAAACAGGATTAGTCTTCTTTCAAACAAAATGAATAATTGCATAAACACAGCTTTACAAAGAATTCCCCTTTGATTTACCAAATAAAATTATGGTGTCATTACATCAATGATAGAAAATAAGACATTAATTTAAAATATATTGTTCACTTCATTTGTAAATGCTTTGAAAAACAAAACATGCAAAGACATGTTGCCTTAAAAAAAAAAGAGTGTGTCTGGGAGTGTCAGTGCAATAAATGCCTGGGTGTCGTAAATGAAACTGAAACTGACCTGATATGTTATGTGAGATCAGTATACCAGAGTGTAGCTCAGGCAATGGTGAAAGTATTTTAGAAGAACTTATAAGTTTTGGTAAAACAGATGAATTTTAGCAGTCATTGTTATCTAGATTTAAATGAGACAAACTGGAACAGCAGAGACTTGAGGGGAGGGACTGGAAAATCAGGAGACAAACTTGGTAAGCTAAATTTAAAAACATAGCAAACCTCTCACCAGTTTTAAAATAGAGCAGCAGTGACAGACCAATGCTAACTGTGTTTGGGTTACATATTCTTGAGATGTTTGAGAGGTGAGTCAAGCAAATCATCTCTGACACAAAGCATAGGAATAATGTTGATATGAAGGTAATGTGTAATTTGTACAAAATGCTTTTATAACGACTTGGTTGGATGATCATCATCCTTAGGTGGGGAGGATCATATTATCCTTCAATAGACAGGAAGTTAAGTTATCCCATTTTGCATAAATAATAAATTTTCTTAGTAAACATCACAGTTTTAATCTACTTGATGAAATATGTTTATTTTCAACTTTTCTAATGACAGAAAAAGACCTGTTACATTGACCCTAAATAAGGGGAGACAGAGAAAAAGCAAGTGACACTTTGAGATGGTACTCTTTATTTGGTGGCTTAAGAGTTGCTAAACATCCTGGCTTTGGCACTGAGGCAGACCTGAAACCAAAGAGGAAAAATATTTCTCTTTTAAGGAGCGCCCCCTAGAGGACAGTAACTCTATCAGACTTGAATATTTAACAGAAGGTAAATTATCAGTAAGGGGTTGAAAATCCTTAACTTGTTTAAATAGGCTAAAATTATACACTAAACTCAACTTAATTCTGTTATTTTGACAAGTAACAACCCTATTCCAAAATGTGTATTTAGCTCAATTTTATCTCAAATTGTGTGGTACATAATGGAGCACCATAACCAAGTGATACATATATATATATATATATATATATATATATATATATATATATATATATATATATATATATATATATATATATTGCTATATGTCTTTTTGAAAGGAAAGGAAGTTAAAATGGAGTTAGCTTGGACTCTACTTTATGTTTAAGGGTTATTGAAAACAAATAATCCATAATTGTTCATTTTAATTTATATATATTCAGACAAATCAGGTCATCACTGCCAGAAAACACTGCTAAAATGTTTTCTTGATTGCATAACTGGTTTTCACATTATGAATACTGTTCAAGTGGTCTTGACAAACTTGACAACCTTAAAAGCAATAGAATCACGTTTCAAAAACACTTTATAAACATTTGATAGAAAGCCTTTGTATTTTCATTGTGGTCTCATCTATGAAAATACAATATTTTAAGTTTTGAAAATTTCCGAAAAATTTAAATTGCCAGTTCAATATTTAATGTTTTAAAGGGACTCACTTTGCCACCTCTGGAGAGTTTATTAAGCTTAAATTCCACAGTAGCGGAAAGGTAAATAGAGCATCTACTAGAAGTGACTGTCTAAAATCTAACAGACACATAGCATTTAGTCAGCAGGTGTTATCAGTCAAGGGAACAGAAATTTGGCATAACATTCTAGCTGCTATAAGAAATTCTACTCCATTCAGTTAATTCAAAATTAATTATAAAATATGGCTCAAAGGGAACCAGATCTGCGATCACTAATGTCAGATTATACTCAGGCTGTGCAGCCTGCTCCGGGGAGACACCAAGGCGACACCAGGCCTGCTCAAAGACATAGTCCTTCCAGAGTGTCCAGGGCCTTCCACGAGGCCTCCTCCAAATAGGACAGGCCTGTCCTATTAAGGGACTTCAGATTTAAAGATATCTTGTGTAAAAATATGTTTTATCCAGTACAAGTAATGATGCCATTATGAACATGTGAAAAGATGAAGAGATGTTAATACTTTCTGATGCCCTGTAACTTGTAAGCCAAAACAGATTCATAGACTTGCAAAATTTAGCTCTGATCTTATGATCATGAAAAATATAAAATCTTAAAAGTGACCCAGCTGGGTCATTATGCTAGTGATTAATTTTCAAAAAACTTATGGAAACATGAAAACAAGTCTTTTGTAAAAAGCCTGTTCTCATATAGTGTTTAGGTCAGGAGGCTTGACCAAAGCTGTTTACACTGCATGTATTCATTCACCCATTCATGCACACACTGATGGTGGAAAGCCACATTGTACCCACAGCTGCCCTGGGGCTCACAGATAGAAGCGAGGCTGCCATACCCTGGCGCCACCAGCCACTCATCGGTAGACAGTATTGGTGAATTGTCTGTCACAAGGACACAATGGCACTGAAAGCCAGAGCTGAGGTTTGAACCAGCAGTTGAAGGGCAAACTCCTGCATCCGTCTTCACTGTTGTCCTTCTTCAATAACAGCGAGGACTCATTGCTGAAGTTCACAAATTTTTTTTTATTGCTATAAGATTTTTATAATAAATCATTTAAATATTGCATATAAAGTAAACAAAAAATAAAGCACTGTGAAAAAGTATATATTTTTTATCTTTTAAGAGATGCCTGTCTTATTTTCTATCAGAAATAATAATTTTGGTATAAATAACTGTTTTGTTTGCTGTGAATAAAACAGGTAATGGCAACACTCTGGTTTTGTTTCATTTTTAGAAGGAGCCCCATCACAGGGAGGAGGAGTTCAGCCTTGGGTTAAAAGAATAGATCATCTGCACCACACAAGCAACAACATCTGTATAAGACAGATGCAATCATGTTTCAAGGTCACAGTATGGCTGCACAGATAAGTCTTGCTAGACATGATGGACTGAGTACTAAAGAACTAGAGAGGAGGATCAGGCTCCCTCAGGATTTGATTAACTTTATTAAAGCCAGCAATGCCATATGTAAGTACCAGAACCTCTTTCAACAACAGTTCAGGAATCCTGTGTTCATACAGGTTGGGTTGGACTTTGCCCTCTTTAGTATGTACCCTCATGACCTTGATGAAGCTCAGGCAGCAGTAGTGGGGGATCTGAGTGTGGAAATTGAGAAGCTCCAAGGTGCTGCTGCCATCCCTCCAGATATAGACAGAATAAAAGAAACCCTCACACAAGCCAAGAAAGATCTAAACCGCAGTGAGCTCAGGGTGGACTTTAGCTTCATCCCTTGCCAAGGTGCAGCCACAGTGGCCAAAGTACGTCTATTGGGCTACACTGAAACCGTGAAGAAGCTCAGAGATGTTCTTCAGGATTACCTGGTGAATCAGGTTTCTACTAAAGAAGTGCTGAACCTGCAACATCCTGAAATGGTTGACTGCTTTGAAAAAATACAAGAACTGATCAAGTTTAAGCAAACAAAAGCTAATGTTAAACCTTCCCATCTTCCAAACCCATGTGTTGTTATCTCTGGTCCCCGGCGCCATGTTCAGGAGGCCCATAAGGCTCTTAGGTCTGGGCTAGCAAGTCTGATATTAGAAAAGTGGATTTTAGATGGCCCGGGAGCTCTGCAGTACTTCCAGGCAGACGGTAAAGTGAGCAAGGAGCTGGTTGAGAGTTCCAGTCAGGTTCTTATCAAGGAACGGCAAGGTAGGCACCTTCTGCTGGGGTACTAACAGTCTCTTAATGTTTTCTTGCTGTATTTAACGAATCATCTTTTACTTCATTTGCAGTGTCAGCTCCAAGACGATATATTTATCAAACCAGTAGCTTCCTTCCTCTTCCTAAAAAAACAACCAGTCTTCAGTCCTCCTTCCTCTTTGTGGGTCTTCAAAGAAAAAATGTTGATGAGGCCATAACAAAAATGAAGAATCTGTACCAAGCTCACAGCTCAACAAAAACCTTCCTTCCTCAAGAACTGGAAGACCTCACCCAGAATGACATAAAGAGTTTGATGGACCTAGTAGAGACTCAGGGTTTGTATGTACAGAACGACCGCAATGGCTTGACAGTGAGTGGGATGAAGGCTGGGGTCAACCAGGTGGAGCAAATGCTCCGAACCATCACTCCCCTTAGGAAAGAAATGAGAGTCAAAGAAGAGGACAACCTGTACTGTCGTGTAGCCTGGTGTATTCTGGGACAAAATGGAGAATGGGAGAGACTCCCGAAATCGGCCAATTTTAATCTGGAAAAACCTAACATCACAAAAGGTATAGTAGATGCACAGGGGTCTACATGGAGTGTGAATCTACAAAGGATGGAGGCTATAGGTAATATAACTGGACAGGTGGCCAAGCTGAAACGACTTGAGAATTTGCCAGGTAAAAGAAGTAAAATAAATTTGTATTGATTAAATGGTTACTTTATTTAAGTTTTAGCAGACCAAATAAGATTAAATACAAACCTTTTCAGTGAAAAAATGAGCTGCACTATAGCACTTTTTTACCTTTTAATTACAGACAGCTCTGTTTTTACCATTCTTCTGCATTTCTGCTTTGTGTTTTAGTACAATATGAACAAATGTCCAGGTTATTGGTTAGATTATATCATTATAGATATTAACTTTGCTTAACATTAATTCTTATGTGTTTCTAATTTCCATCAATTTCATCTGTGACACTTTTTAGATTTTACTTTTCCCCTGTACTGGGACAATATGTCTAGTAATGAAAACTTAAAAGAAGTGCTGGTGGATCGGTTCTCTGCAGAGTACCAAACTGTCCAGCAGGACTTCAACAAAACAGCCAACAACAAAACCATTCTCAAGGTGAGAGTTTTTTTCTCATTTTAGTGTGTGCCACATCATTATGTCACACACAAATGGCTACTAATTATAGGCATTTATAATAATTGTGTAAGGCATACAGAAGAAATTATTTAATAGCAGACTTAAGCAATTATTAATAAGCAGTTTCAGAAGACTCTTTTATTAATGTTGTGCAATAATGATATACTCTATACAAAGTCCAGTAAGGGTCGCAAAAAAACTGTTTAAACAAACAGTATTCAGACTGTCATAAATCTTTCTGTGAACTCATGCCCAACTGGCTGTATGTTAGGACAGAAAATCAAAGTTTGCAGCATTGCCTGTTACAACTACAGGGTGTTTGCTGGTCAGCCCCCATTTGTTAATGTCATCAGTCAACCTATTGGCTATATTTGCAGCTGCCTGGGTTAAAGTAATGCAGAGAGCATCTTTCCTCCTCATTTGAATGTGAATGTCACGTGCGTCACTATAAAACTAATCAATATCATTCCCTAGACATCAATTTGCAAAAATGTAAAGGAATCGATTCAAAATCGATTAAATCGATTTTTTTTACCCAGCCCTAATTATCAACAATTCTAACACGCTATTATTCAGTAGCTGTAAGTTAGAAACATGTTCAGTGGTTGTCTGGAATACATCTGGAATAGTTGTGTTTATATGCATTTGAGATAAGTTCTTGATAAGTTACGCATCACTTATGCACAAGTTATGCGTAGGTTTTGGATAAGCTAGATGCCATGACTTATGAGTAACTTACATTTAACATATGTCAACGATCAGATAACTTACCTGTAACGTATGGACCAGGTATGAGCATATGCTGACATACGTCGAGATAGTTTAAGCAAAATAAAATTTCTCTGCCGCTGGCTGAAGTGTGCCAGCATGCTCATAACTTATCCAGTGTATGCCATTTTTTTTGCCTAATTGTTCGTACGTCAGGCAACGCTGTGTATACCATTAGGCTCACTCACCCTTTGATCGATCATGGTGTCTCTCTGGTGTGAGCCTCACAACAAAAGAAAAGAGAGGCTTCGATTATATTCATTTTTCTGTAAGCACAGTGGGAGGCAGGATCACTCTTCCCTTTGGTGATTGAGTCCAAACTGCATCCTCCTACACCAAGGATCACAGTCAATATCAGCATGGACATTGGTCCCCAATGTCTAAAATTAATATTTTGGTTTATGACTCAACATCGATCATTTATTGTCCCTTTTCCTCTCTTGTCAGATTGAGCGCTTGCAAAACATTCATCTCCGCCGTGCATATGAAATGCAGAAGAAACACATGTCGGAAAAGAACAAAAATGAAGGTGGAGCAGGTGAAAGGCTTCTGTACCACGGGACAGACCCGGAAAGTCTCCAATCGATCAAAACCAAGGGGTTCAACAGAAGCTTTGCTGGGAGACATGGTAATGATCATTTGTTTAACTTAGGGTGTTCAATTAGCCTGTCATTAAAATAGGAGTGTATAGTTTTATAGACTAGTCAAGCTTAATTTTTACACTATTTATACATTTACAGACACACGAAAATCTATTTTCTGTTCTACATCAACCGGAAATGGCCAGTCATGTTGCAGTATTTTAGTTAAGGCAGAATGTTTAGTTGAGACTAAAGAAAGTGATGTCAGGTCCAGAGGCGAAGCAGCATAGACATGGCAGTACAGGAGGACCTGCGTTTAGCATATGTTGTCACATCTGTTTTGTCAGAATCCCCAATTTGATTTTTAAAAAAAGAGCAAGAGCATTTCAAGGGTAACAAACCAACTTTAAGCAAGCAAGCCTAGACACGTGTAGATCTAAAACTGAGTGCTACAACATTATCAATGTAGCTTGCCAGGTTTGCAGTTTTAGTATTTTTAATTCATCTGTTACAAACTTGAAGAGCTTCTTTCCTACAAAAATGAACCTGTTATGAAGTTATTTTTTAATGTTATTCTCTGTAGGTTGTCATTTAGGATGTCTTTTTTGAATAATTAACTATCTTTAATAATTAATTCTTTTACCCCATATAAAAACACTTCTAATTTGTTATCATTCACAGCAACGCTATATGGTCATGGCACCTACTTTGCTGTAAATGCCAGCTACTCAGTGGGCTACTCAAAGACAGCAACAGATGGCACTCAAACAATGTTTGTGGCCCGAGTCCTGACGGGCCTTTACACCCATGGTCAAAGTGACATAAAGGTGCCGCCGCTTCGCAATAACCAGGAGCATTATGATACTCTGGTGGATCGAACGGATTGCCCCAACATGTTTGTTGTGTTTCACGACAACCAAGCTTACCCAGACTACCTCATTACCTTCAAATAAATAAAACTAATGCAGTGGATCATTTGATTGTTTGTAACCTAACTCACGTTTTTGTGTCAAATACTTTATTTGTCTCTTTGTACCAACCTTGACGGGAGGCTGATCTTGCTTTGAAAGCTTTTTTTAAATAAGAAAGGCCTGAACAGAGGTGGGTAGAGTATCCAAAATTAGTTCTTAAGTAAGAATGGTACTACTTTAACATAGGCTTAATCAAGTATAAGTAAAAAATAGTATTATAGTATCATTTTTTTTCTATTGTTCTAAACTGAAATATGAGATGGCATTAATGTTTATTTCTCCCTCCTGCTGATTAGTATGTTGTCATTTTCTGTAATTGTTTTTATTAGATGAGATGAAATGAGGCTTTTGTGAGTGATTTGTGAAATCATTTATTTTCTGTTATATCTTTATGTCCTGAGAGTTAATTTGTGTTATTTATATCTTTCTCTAATAAAAGTTGATATGTAATTACTGTATCTGAAATTGTGGCATAAAATCTCATTATTATCCTAATTCATAATAACTGATGGACAGATTGTTTTAAGAACATTGGTACAAAAAGGCTTGTACAAAGTGTAAATAAGACAGACAAAAATAAAGCACACCTGTCAAGATAGAAAATCAGAAAGAGCTTCACAACAGAGGTGTTAAAAAAGACAAAATTCTGTTCCATAAGTTTTATTCCATTCTCTTCAGAAACACTTAACACATACATCACACATAAATGAAAAAAATCATACTAAGTGGCATTTTTTCAAAAGAAGAATTATGACCTGGGTCAATTGAGATCGGATTAGAGAAACTGAATGAAAGAGCATGAACGTCAATGAAGAGAATGCTCCTTTTGCTTTGACATTTGCAAGGAGCATCAATGGCACACCCTGATCATAGGACTTTAGGGATCTCTTTCAAATGTCTGGATACAGAAATCATGATATCATAACCAGTAGGAGGGTATAAACCTGCACACAGGTAGGTAAAACTGCTATTTGCCTGGGTGTTCAGCTGACAGTAAGCTCTGCAAATAACATATGTGAGCAACAGCCAAATTATCTCCTGTATAAAATCACAGCTGATGTGATATCTGGCCTAATCAGCATGTTAGTGGTCTTGTTATAAATTCATTTAGAAAATGAAATATTTTTTATTATACTCTTTAAGAATTGGTTTGAATATTCTTTTCACTTAGCTTGATGCACACAAAAATAGAACAGGTGGATTCCACAAAGCAGTGAAACATTTATGGGCGGGAACTGTAACATGACACCAATTCCGCATCATAACCCATCCCTTTTGAAGTTTGGCCTGTTCTGGAAATCCCAGGACACAGTGGACTTTACCCAAGATAGAAGGCCTGCACTTCAAACAGATAATCAAATGCATTTATCCCTTATTTGTATCCTTCTATGATGTCTGGTGGGGCTTGAAATGTAGATTTGTGTGAACAACAGTCAAAACTGCCGTAAAAAAACAAAAAACAAAAACTAATTTAATGCTAACCAAATATGTGTGTTATTTATTTACCATTGCAATGTAAATATTCAACAAACCAGGCCAGGAAATTTCTCTCCAGACGATATGCGATTACCGGATTGTGACTGGGTGTGTCAAGGTTTCTATTTCAGGAAGAGGAGGAGAAAAACAGGTGAAAGTGAAACTAATGCTTTAGTGAATATCGTTTACTCAGAACAGGAACAAGCACAGACAGTGCTCTCTTGGTTAAACAGTTTAAAATGGCTGAATCTTCCCATTCCCTGTATTTTGAGGCTAGGCCTCTAACAGACAGAGAGAAGGAAAGGGTCAGGAGATACTTTCAGAAAAGAAGAGACTCTGGGGGAGGCGATTGTGAAGTTATTGAAAAGGTCGGAGAAAACATCTATAAAGTCACCTTTAATGAAAAAGAAGGTATGTCCTTTAAAGCATTTGCAGCTCTGAATATAGATATGTGACTTATGATGTTTTTCATGTTTAAGATCAAGAAAGAGTTTTACAGAGAAAAACTCACAAAGTTATTCTTCCTGGTGGAGATTTACATCTGACCGTGAGTCGCAGCAGTTCACCACAGACCCTGGATCAGCCATCCACAAGCAATTTGCAGGTGAATTTTTTTTTCTTTCTAAAATCAGTATCTTGTCGTCAGGGCTAAACAACTTCCTGGTTTTCTGTTGTCAGTTTTTTTCTTGCCTTTGTTTTTTAATCGCTTAGATCAGTTTCCCTTTCATTTCTAACGTTTACAGATTTAAGCCACTCATTGGTGAAATATTTATTCAGTAATTTTAGTTTTGATTTTTTTAAAAAAAATGATACCTTGCAAAAGCAATTCATACATCTCATTTTATTGCATCGAAATAAACTAACTTTAAGTAAATTTAAGTGACTTTACCATATTGTGTAGGAATTTTGTATCAGACTCATCCCAAGTAATATAGATTATTAAATGGAAAGAAAATTCTATTTGATTTTTCAGATTCCAATAAAAGTCTACTACAATGTGCAAAACACTCATTTTGTACTTATAAGACAAATCTTGTGCACATTGATACACGCTTGTCATGTAAGCCATTTAAAGACCCACCTGTCAGTGTAATTACAGCTGTTGTTAAAGTTTTTGGGTCTATGTCTCCTCCTGCTTTACATAAAGGCAGAAAGAGTTCTCGAGTTCTGTCTGTTTTCTTTCGAAATTGGTGATAAACTGTATAGAAAGCATCTACAACAACTTCCAGGAATTGCAACACATTTTCCAATGGATATGCCTGAAGCTACAACTTGTAATTATATCCCTTTTACTGATCTCTGTGCAGACTGGTTTGCATTTATAAAGTGATTATGCTGACTTTTTACAGAGCATACATTAAGTCTGTATTAAGGTATGGCATCACTTGTTGATTTGATAATTTGTCAGTAACATGACTAAGTTAGAAATCACAGACTTCTGATCTGTACACAACAGTCAACAAATCATTGCTTAAGCTCATTAATGACTGCTTAGTGCAAGATGAACAAATAGCCTAGAGACATGTAAAGTCATAGTAAATTCTTCATTAAAGGTATTGTGGAGGATTTTCGAGAATTGTTGAAAAGACCCTCCATCTCCACTTAAAAAAAATTTTACATGCACAACCCTGTACCTGCTCCCGAAAGGCAATGCCTATTGAACACTTGCGAGAGCTTGCACAAGCCGCCCTAAACCCTAAAACCCTTAATCACTATATAGAGCGGGGACTATAAAGAAGACTTTATAG